TGGCGCCTCGTTGGTCTCAAGACCCGAGGGCTCTAGAAAATGTGTTCCTGTCAACCCAGCGGTCCCAGATAATGTGTTTCTGTCAACTCAGTGATCCAGAGACCCAAAACTGTAATTAACATGCTTAATTCTGCTTCTGTAAACTGCTTTTTGCGAACCAGGTTCCTCATTCCAAACCCTGTGATGTAATCAATACCTTTGTGATTTTTGCCTATATAAACCTGGTTTTTGGACCATCTTATTACTCTGAGATTTGGGAATGACCCCTCATAGTCCCGGATTGCAATAAATGTGACACTTTTTTAAAAAAATATATTTTATTGATTTTTTACAGAGAGGAAAAGAGAGTTAGAAACATTGATGAGAGAGAAATATCGATCAGCTGCCTCCTGCACACCCCCTACTGGGGATGTGCCCGCAACCAAGGTACATGCCCTTGACTGGAATCAAACCTGGGACCTTTCAGTCCACAGGCCAACACTCTATCCACTGGGCCAAACCGGTTATGGCAAATGTGACTCTTTAATTCGACTTCTTAAGGCGTCCTTCTGTGATTCTCGGGGTACGTTACAACAGAAGAGGAGTCGTTCTGTTTAAAAAAAACTGGAGGTGTGGGAAAATAAAATATGCAAATACAGAGCCCCAAGGCGCCCTGGGCCTCCAAGCCCTGAGCCCCACTCCATCTCCAGGCACCTGGCAGTCTTGTTAGGAACCGAAATGGAATAGTGGGGACTAGCTATTAGGTATAAGAAATATTAATCATGCCCTGAGATTGTTTTGTTCTGATTTGAGAAAGCACTTATAACCTGGATGGCAGTTGTACACCCCCAGGACCCAGGAGTCAACCTTGGAATGTGAGCCATTATCATATCATGGATAGATTAACAACCTTGTTGCCCAAACGATGTAATCTGTAACCATTATACCCAATTTTATTATTTTTGCCTACTTCCCCATGCCTGTAATACCCATTTTGCATACTCATTCTCATTTCTTTTGCCTGCTTCCCCATGTAATCTTTATCCTACCCCATATAAGCAGCTGACTTATGGGGGGGCGGGGGGAAGAGCATGCTTTCATGGATGACCCATAGCTCTCACATACTGCCAGCATTATTGGAATAAACACTCATATGATTCGACCCTCTGCTTAATTGGCTCAAGTAGTGACAGGCAGCTGGGACTCATGGGTTGTGGAGTTTCAGGCTGGTTTCCCCTGGGGGCGTTTCTCTGCTGTCTTACCACCAGGTCTTGCTCCCCAAGCCCACGCCTACCAGCCCTGGGGAGCTAAGACTTCGCGTCCTGGGAGTTTTAACACTTTCCACGATTTTGCAATTGACCAGGAACTCTAAAACTTCCTCAGGCAGTACCCGCCACTTCGGGGTACCCCGCACACTCCATCCGTGGAAAGGCCAGGGAAGTGATGGTGTAATAAAGTGAGATTAAAGGTCGTGGAAAGAACAGGCGAGTCTTTGCAGCAGCTCTAAGTGCCCTGTGTTAGGGGAAAAGACAGACCTGGGATTCGAATCCCACGTTTCGCCAGGACATGGGAAACGCCAGAGCAACCTCAGGTCACTGAAAGGATGCCAGGGGGTGCAAAGGAGGCACGACACGGGGTATGCGGGGCCAGGTCGGCTGTCTGCAAAGAAAGCGGAACCCTCACTTGTCTGGGGCTACCTCTGGGCAGGCCACAGTTTCTAAGTGTGAAGGATGGGCGGATTACCAGCTAACCGCCTTCACCGAAAGGGTCTGGGGTGTTCCGGTTTCAGCCCCGCTACTGAAATCAGCTACAGAAACCACTCGAGAAAACAGGAGTTTCTTTCGTTTTTAGTTCCAATGAGGTTTAAAAAGAAAAAAATGCAAGAAGCGTGAACGGTGCCCAGAAATGCTTCTGTCAGTGCATGCGGGGAGCGGGCTGAGGCTACAGCTGGAGGAAGACAAACTGGGCAGCCAGGGCGCATGCAGCAGGTCATGTAAACTGCACGTGTGCACACACGCCACGGTGAGCAACGTCAATGTCGAAACGCCAAGTGTGTAAGCAGCCGAGTCACCCACAGTTCAGGTCTCGGCAACCGCGAGCCGCTCCTTCTGCGCTTGCGCCAAACTGTGCTCCGCCCCTGGAGCCGCCCCCTCAGCGCCCCGCCCCCGAGCCCGTTCGCCCCGCCCACTTCCCGTCCCCTTTTCAGCCCTGCCGCCCGCGCAGTATTTGATTATTAGACATAACAAGCACGCGGGATTTTAAGGGGTATCTTCAGTGGTGCGACAGGGCAACAACACTCCTAGGGTGTGAAGGTTGTAATCAGTGTTCTTACTTGGAGATAGGTGGGTGGTAGCTCGAGAAATGTAGACAGGCTCCACCCCTAGGGACAACCGGCTTTAGATTGAAATCTGGATGTATAGCATGCCCCTACCTGGCAAAAAAGTTACGTGCCCAGGGATAACAGGGTCATGGGGAGATTCGATTATCTATTGTTCGCACGCGCGATGTGAGATGACGTGACGCACAGACACCGCTCTCTCAGGGACAGTGCGGGTCTTTTGGTTCGTAATCCAACGAAATATGA